GGTCCGCCACCGCGACCCCCACGGGTCACCTAACCGGAGACTCTGGAAACGCCTGGGGCGGGTACCGGGTGGTGTCCGCGTCCTTCCCTTTCAACTGTTATGTCGATGTGGCCTTCAATCAGCCCTACAAAGCTGGGCCGGCCAACCCGGGCCCTCGAGAGGGGAGGTTGGGTGTCCCTGGCAGCGTGTGGTAACCAGGCAGCGGGGAGGCTGGCGGGAGATTCTAGAAGGCCCCTGAGAACTGCGCGCCAACCGCACCGCCTACTTGAAGGTCGGGGCCCTATGTCTGGGAATGGTGACAACGTTCGCTGTACGGACAGCCTGTGTCTTCGAATGTGAATGTCCACATCTTGCTGTTTTGGGGGTCCCGACATCTGTAGGAAGTGAAGAAGACTGGACGGCGATGTGAACACATACACAGGCGCATCACTAGGCTCAGAACTGGCCCAACTCCCAGCTTCTACTGCGAAGCGAGCACGCCCAGGCCACGCCTGCAAACGGGGTCAGTTCCTTTGATCAACCGCGGTCAGCGCCATCCACCGACGACCACTAAGTAGCCTATCCACCAGGGCAGAAAAGATGACTGGTTCCTATTCATTAAAACTGTTGTGATTGTTCCTAAATATATGGATATATAGCTCGTACTAGGTGAAATTTCCCATCTATAAGGGCCAACTTAAATTCAGAATAAAACAAGAATATTTGAAAACCTACTACATCAATGCTCGGTATTAAAGGTGAAAACATAAATTGGACAATGTCTTTTTCACAAGAGGTTTAAATTTAGTAAGGAAAAAAGGCAGAAAATATGACTCATAGAGACAATAGGAACAGTTTTAGCATATTGCAAGAAGAGTAAATGCAGTGAATGGTCTGGTTTAACAAGGAAATAATGCTACTGTAGAAGGGTGTGGTGAGAGGTAAGCAATAAAGGATGTGATGAAAGACATGAAAGGGTCGAGCTGGTTTTGAGCATGATTAAATAGACAAGTAGCCTTGTAAATATGAACTTGTGGTGCCAAAATAATTGATTATCCACGTAGGAAAAATTTTTTACCTGGCATTACACACAAAAATAAACTCCAGGTGAAGTGAATATGTAAATATGAAAGGCAAAATATTATACTTTGATAAGAAAATATAGAAATATGTGTTCACAACTTTGGCGGTCGGAAGTTTCAAAAAACATTAAAAATAAAAATGTTAATTAAAAATTGACTAATAACTAAGAAAATTAAAGCTAAAGCACAAACTTGGAAAACGTAGTTATAAAATATAAAGTATTTCTAAAATATGCAAAGAGGTAATAAGAACAATGACACACTAGAAAAATGGAAAAAATGTGAACAGCAAGCCAAACTTTCTGTAGTCATCCGAAAAATGCAAGTTAAGACAAGATAATATGTCACATCCATTAGACTGTGCAGAAAAACAGCCTGTTTCGTGGCAAGAGTGACACCAACTTGAAGCAAAACTATCTTGGGAACTGATGTTTGACCCACTGCATACCAAAGTGTTCTGCAGCAAAGGTTTTTAACAATGTTCATAACATACATACATAATCCCTCATAAAGATGCTTATCTAACGTCCCCAGTGATCACAATAGTCTGAGAGCTAACTAGTCGCACTTCTTTTTACCCTTATATCTTGCTAAATAAAGCATACTTTCAGGAGAGCAAGTGCAAGGGTTGCTTCTGTTTGTCTCTGTTAAGTGTTTCTTTCTGAGAAACTGGGTTGGTCAGCCTCTTTAGTCTCCCTGCTTCCTCGGTCTTTGGAAGCAGGTTTCTGTAAATTGACAAAAATGTAAGCCTTTGATAATAAGTGAAGGATGTAGTAAAATGAGAGTTCTCTGCATTTCTGGTGGAATTGTAATTATTGTAACTATTTTTGAGAAAAATTAAGCAATATCTGGTAAAGGTGAAGATCTACATATTTTGTAACCCAGTACTTCTTCGATATAAGTATGTACCTAGATTAATGCATATGCCTGTGAACAAAAAAATAAGTGTAAGTATGCTTTTTGGAACATCTTTTTGTAATAGCAAAATATTAAATGTAAATGACCAATGTCATGAAGCTTTTCCCTTATGTTTTCTTCTAGTCATTTTACAGTTTCAGGTCTCATATTTAAGTGCTTAATTCACTTTAGTTGATTTTTGCACATGGTGAGAGATAAGGATCTAATTTCAGGTTTTTCCCAACACTAATTATTGAAGAAGATGCCCTTTCCCCATTGTGTGTTCTTGGCACCTTTGTCAAAAATCAATTGACAACATATGTGTTGGGCCTTCTATCCTGGCGCATTGGTCAATGCCCGTATTTTTATGCCGTTACAATGATATTTTGATTAAATTACTATAATTGTAATATGTCTTGAAATCACAGAGTATGGTGCCTTCAACTTTGATTTTTTTTCCTCAAGATTGTTTTAGGTATGTGGGGTCTTTTGTGGTTTCATACAAATTTAAGGATTTTTTTACATTTATGTGAAAAAAGTGACATTGGAATTTTTGTAGGGATTACAATGAATCTGTAGATTGCTGTAGGTAGTATAGACACATTGACAATATTAACTATTTCAATCCGTGAACATGAGGTATCTTTCCATTTACTTGTATTTTCTTCAATTTCTTTCATGTGTTTTATAGTTTTCAGTGTACAGGACTTTTGCTTACTCATTAAATGTACACCTAAGTATTTAATGTTTTGTTACTATTTTAAAGGGGATTGTTTTGTTAATTTCATTTTGTTATTAGTATATAAAAATGCTACTGACTTTTATATGTTGATTTTGTATTCTGCAACTTTACTGTTCATTTATCAGTTCTGATAATTTTTTGGTGGATTTACATATAAGATCATGTCATCAGAAAATAGAGATATTTTCACTTCTTCATTTCCTATTAGGCTTCAATTTTTCCTCCTGCCTAATTGCTGTAGTTGGGACTTCCAGTACTATATTGAAAAGAAGTGGTGAGAATAGGTATGCTTGTCTTGTCACTAGAGGAAAAGCTTTCAGTGTTTTACTATTGAGAATGATGTTAGCTAAGGGTTTGTCATATGTAACCTTTATTGTGCTGAGGTACATTCCCTCTGTACCTATACCCAATTTGTTAAGAATTTTATCATAAAAGGATGTTGAGTTTTTTCAAATGTTGTTTCTGCATGTATTGAAATCATTATATGATTTTCATCCTTTAATAATGTGGTGTATCACATATTGATTTGTGTGTGTATATATGTCTATTATAGTAGATATAGGCAATGCATATTGTAATGTCTCCTCTTTCACTTCTGATCTTATTTGAGTAGTCTCTTGTTTTCCTAGTCTAGCCATGGGTTTGTCAACTTTGTTTATCATTTCAAAACACCAACTTAGTTTTGTTGACATTTTCTATTGTTTTTCTAGTCTCTATTTCATTTATTTCTGTGCTGAGTTTTGTTATTTCCTCTCATCTGCTATCATTGGGCTTAGTTTATACTTATATTTCTAGTTTCTTGAGTGGTAACATTAGATTATTTGTAACCTTACTTTATTTGATATAGATGTTCATTGCTATGAATTTCCCTCTTAAGATTGCTTTTGCTGTCTCCCGTAAGTTTTGATATATTGTCTTAACATTTTCGTTTGTCTCATGGTAATTTTTTATCTTCTATTTGCTTTCTTCTTTAACCTATTGGTTGTTTAGGAGAATGTTGTTTCATTTCCACACATTTGTGTATTTTCCAAGATATCTGTAATCCTGGAGGTTATTGATTTCTGATTTCATGCCATTGTGATCTCAAAAGATTCTTAATATGATTTCAATTCTCTTAAATTTGTTAAGATTTGTTTTGTGCATTAACATATGGGCTATCCTGGAGAATGTTCTATGTGCACTTAAGAAGGATGTCTATTTTGTTGCTATTGGATACAGTGTTGTGTGTATTTCTATTTGGTCTATTTAAAGTGTAATTCAAGTCCATGGTTTCTTTATGGATTTTCTCTCTAGACGATCTGTCCGTTATTGCAAGTGGAATATGGAGAGCCCCTACTGTAATATTATTAAATTCTATTTTTTCCTTTAGATCGTTTAGTAATTGCTTTGTGTATTTAGGTGCTCTGATCTTAGGTAGGTGTATATTTACAATTGTTATGTCTTTGTGGTGATTTAAATTCTTTGTTATGTAATGGCCTTCTTTTTCTCTTTTTGTAGTATTTAACTTAAATCTATTTTGTCTGATATAAGTATAGCTACCCCAGCTCTCTTTTCGTTTCTATTTGCATGGAATATCTTTTCCATCCCTTTACTTTCAGTCTGTGTGTGTCCTTATTACTAAAGTGAGTCTCTTGTATGCAGCTTATGATTAGGTCTTGCTTTTTTTAAATCTATTCAGCTGCTCCATGTATTTTATTGGACAGTATAATCCATTTACATTGAAAGTCATTATGGACAAGTAAGTGCTTACCACTGCCATTTTGTAATTTCTCTTCTGATTGTATTATAGGTCTTTTGCTTCCTTCTTTCTCTCTTACTATCTTCCTTTGTGGTTTGGTGGCTTTGTATGGTTGTATACTTTTTATCCTTTCTTTTTATATTGTGTGTAACTACTATAAATGTTTGCTTTGTGATTACCATGAGGCTTACATAATATAGCTTATCCTTAAAACAGTGTACTTTAATCTGATAAAACTTGTCTTTAATTGCATATAAAAACTCTACACTTTCACTCCCTCCCACCCACATTTCATTATTTTGATGTCAAAATTTACATATTTGGTAATTTGTATTCATTAATAATTTGCATAGCTATAGTTGGTTTTAATAGTTTTGTCTGGACACCACTGATAGCTGTTCCTGACATGCATGTGCAAGCATTGACTCCACTGCCACCACCCTGACGAAGTGCTTTGGTTGGCACTCCTCATCAGAGTATTGTTACCAGCAGACTGGGAGCACCTTAACCCCTAAGGTGCAGTAGGTGCTTAACCTCAAGGTGCCAGAGAACAAACCTATGGGCCTGGTACTAGACGTCCAGGATTACAGCAAGCAGCTCAAGAGTACTTAGCTGAGCTTTGGTCCCCTGAAATCTTCTAGAAAGAAAACCAGTCAACTAAACCCAACTTATACCACAGTCAAACCCTTATGGTATCAAGGAATATAAAAGTAAAAAACCCCATCCAAAAGACAACAACTTTAAAGACTAAAGGAACATCAGGTCACTGTGTTCCTGGCCTGAGAAACAACCAGTGCAAGAACTCTGGCAACTCAAAAAGTCAGAGTGTCGTCTTACATCCAAATGATAGTAGTAACTCCTCAGCAATGTTTCTTAACCAGGCTGACATGGCTAAAATGAGAGACATAGAATTTGGAATCTGGATAGGGATGAAGA